TCTCTCTCTCTCTCTCTCTCTCTCTCTCTCTCTCTCTCTCTCTCTCTCTCTCTCTCTCGTAGTCTGCACATACTGAGAAGTCAGGCAGCGAGAGGGTGAGGGAGAGATGGTGGGCTTAGAAGAGGAAGAAGAAAAACTCTCTCTCTCTTTCTCTTAGTTCGGCTCTAACTTGTGAAGGTGGCGCCTTGTTGCAGGTACAGCGAAGACGCAGCTGGAGCTATGGCGTCGTAGGTAAGTCTCTCTGGCCTCCGCCAACTCTCTCTCTCTCTCCAACGTTACTCTAAGCTCCTAATAGCGCCCAACGTTGAAGACGACTCCTAACACTACTACTCTACTGCAGCGCTCCTCTAGAGTGTTGTTGCGGAATCCTTAAGACTGTCTGCTGCCTCTTGTACATGAAGTGTCTGTGAACTGCCTGGGAAGTCCCCGTGAACTACCTGTGAACTCCCCGTGAACTACTTGCAGCCTGCAGGGAGGACCAGTACTATATAGTGCTGGTCCGGCCTAGGAGGCTACTCTTGCCCATGCCGAATCATGCCAGACCCTGGCGTTGAAGTTCAAATAAAGGTTGTCTTGAAACAGGCCCAAAAATGACCTGCGCTAAACCCTGGTCTGGCGCCTAAGTTTCAGGGCAGATCGACTTTATGAGGGCCTGAAAATGACCTTCCTTTTCAGGCTTCCCTAATACTATAAAGGAAGAAGCGGGTGTCATATGTCGGGCCCAACAGAAACCGGGCGCCGCCATGTGGGACCGCTTCGAGGCAGCGGGCAAGGAGGAACCGGTCGCACGTCGGTGTCGGGAAGTGGCCGTGTCGGAAGGCATAGCGAAACCCGACCCGTGAGTCCGTGCGGCAGGGGAAACGCGACCCGTGAGTCTGTGAGCTGCTTTTTAGCGGATCCGAATCCATCGCGCAAGGTCTTACACTGCCACTTTTTTCTTGTGACCGGGCGCCGCCACACGGGACTCTCCCAGGCAGTGGCCAAGGGGGAACTGGTGGCACGTCGGTGTCGGGAAGTGCCCGCTTCGGAAGGCATAGCGAAACCCGACCCGTGAGTCTGTGCGGTAGGGGAAACGGGCAGGACGATGAAGAAACTTCTTTTTCGCATGTTTTTGTCGGAGAGAGACGGAGCGGCTCAAAGTCGACACAACCGCGCACCGCACCACACACAACCGCACACTGCACGTCGTACAATGTGTGAAAGCAATCTCAAAATTAACCCTCGAGGCAAGCAAGGAGCATAGCAGCACAGAGAGTTAGCCATAGTTGGGCTATGGCTTCCACCTCAGCCCTCACCGCCAAATAAGAATGACGACCCGAGGCCAGGTCCCGCCCACTCACCGGAATTCTTCTCAAATTCCGACCGTTGATTCTGAGGATCTAACGACATTTAAGCGGGAGGAGGAGCGGGAAGAGCGGGAGGAGGGGGAGAAAAGGAGCGGGAAAAGGAGGAGCGGGAGGACGAGCGGGAGAAGGAGCGGGAGGGGAAACGGGAAGGGGCGGAGGAGCCGCGGGAGGAGGAGCGGGAGAAGAAGGAGCGGCAGGGGAAACGGGTAGGGGGTTAGGAGCGAGAGAAGGAGCACGTGAGGAAACGGGAAGGGGCGGAGGAGGCGCGGGAGGAGGGGCAGTAGAAGGACCGGGAGGAGGAGCGGGAGGGGGTTAACCAACACGCGGGAGGCGGAGGAGCGGGAGGATATATAGGTGGAGGAGGAAAAGTGGGAGGAGCACGAGGAGGAGCGCTAGGAGGAGCGGGAGAAGGAGCGGGAGAAGGAGCGGGAGGAGGAACGAGGGAAAGAGTAGGAGAAGAAGCAAGGGAGCAGCACGAGGGGGAGCGGGATGGAGGAGGAGAGGGAGGAGGAGCAGGAGAAGGAGCCGGAGCGGGGCTGTGGCGGAATCTTTGTCACATTGTTTGGCGCAGCAGGAGCGGGAGGGGGAGGAGGAGGAGGAGGAGGAGGAGGAGGAGGACTGGGAGGAGCAGGAGAAGGAGCGGGACGAGGAGTGGGAGAAGGAGCGCGGAAGGAGCTATGGCGCGGGAAGAGGAGCGGAAGAAGGAGGGGGAAGAGCAACGGGGGGAGGAGCAGGAGAAGCAGCGGGATAAGGAGCAGGAGGAGTGGAAGGAGCAGCAAGAGGGGGAGAGAAAGGAGAGGGAGGAGAGGGAGAAGGAGAGGGAGGAGGAGCGAGAGAAGGAGCGGGAGCGGGGCTATGGCAGGATCTTTGTCACGTTGTTTGGCGGAGGAGGAGCGGCAGGAGGAGGACTCCTGAAGGAGGAGTGGGAGGAGCGGGAGAAGGGACGGGAGGAGGAGTGGGAGAAGGAGCGGGAGAAGGAGCGGGAGAAGGAAAACGGAAAAGGGCGTAGGAGGTGCGGGTGGAGGAGCGGGAGGAGGAGTGGGAGGAGGAGCGGCAGGGAAAACGGGGAGGCGGTTAGGAGCGGGACAAGCGCAAGGAGGAGGAGCGGGAGAAGGAGCGTAAGAGTTAAAAGGGGGGGAGGGGGGAAGGTGGACATTGATTGATTGCTTGATTGATTGATTGATCGATCAACAAAAAAAAAAAAATGATTGCCCCATTTTCCTTTTTTGTTTTTGTTTTTCAATCAATCAAATCAACCACGTTCTAACTGTAGATTCATTCAATTTTGCTCATCGTATGCATGGAAGTACCATGAGACCAGTATATTTCCATGTTCTGGCTGAAGATTCATTAGCAAAATGGGGTTAAATCTTCCCACGCACGTGCGTGTGTGTTTGTGTCACAAAGAGAGAGAGAGAGAGAGAGAGAGAGAGAGAGAGAGAGAGAGAGAGAGAGAGAGAGAG